ATTTTGACTTAAATACGAAAACCTTAAAGGACCGACCACCTCGAACGTTTGTCAATATTTACAGACTTTCACTGACATTGCTATGTAGTTTTATTCCGAAATATGTGTAGCTCGCAGCGCTAACATTGTTCATAAGATTCGAACATCTTCCGACAGAACTGTTTCGCAAGTAACAATATACAGCGAAATGATTTGGCATTAAGCGAAATTATAAATCCGCTGTAAAAATGAACAGAATAATATTATCGGAAGACGTTCTATAGAGTTTTAACAGCCGAATTGACTCGGCAATCTTTAAATTTCTTATCTGACCTCCAGCTGCTGATCGGTCTTCGCTTTGGTCCCACTTTTTTGCTGCGAACATCGTAATAGGAAACCACTCATCCCTCTTTTTTCTTTGGTCTAATATCTATGCATAAATAACATAGTATTCCCAAGAGATATATGTAAGTTATATTCAGGGTTACTGGTGGAAAAAAATAGTTCAAAATCATTAGGCTCGTCTCTTATCTGTAATATGCTTTCATAAACCTAGTTCATAAAAGATAAAATGTAAATAATCACATGTTTGTGCACGATCGTTATATCTTTAACTAAAAATAAAACGATTTCAACATCATAAAGAATCTAATGTAAAAATATGTACGTACAAATTTTTAAAACGATTAACGTATTATTAATTGTATTAAACGCACCGTAATTGTTACTTTTTAGCGTTGTTTTAATATCAGACTGTTCGTTGAAAAACGTATATCATCAGTGAAACAATAAAAGAATATTTCACTCTTAATTACTTTATAAATAGTGGAGGGATTGAATATAAAATATATTATTATTTTTATTTCAATTTTATTTTTTTTTTTTTCGTGTGTCTCTTTTATTGTGTACTACGGTTTTTACCCTTAATTTGATATAAAAGATAAGAAACAAAAGAATCTGATATTGAACATCCGAGATGAATATAAATGACATTTTCCATTAAATAATTTTTCCATTTTGGTTACAACAGTTGGGGTCCCTGATAAATGTACTTTTGATTTAAGCAGATAATTAAAATGGATATAACAATTCGCACAACGCACATATGTATATCAAGTAGCGACGACTGATCAAACAAGAATTTGTTCAGCGACACTCGAACGCGGTCAACTCGGATCCCTTACTAAGGCGTCGATGCCGCCGTAACCGCAGCGCTCGATATGCGCGACGAAAACTAGTCCGCGACAGCGACGTTCTATGCTAAATATCTCTCGAAGTATGCTACGACAGACGTTCATCGTTCCTTTAAAGTTTCGATAAACAAAGTAGAGAAGCCCAACGGCCTCTTCCAAACGAATTGTCGTAATGTTCACAAAATAAGTATCATTATGCTACGAGAATCGGGCGGGCGCGGCTACCCGTACGGTTTCGATCAGCGTCGTATCGCACTAGCTCATCGCCCCGCGCAACGAGAAAATCGTCAAAATGATAAAACACTATATATCTCGAATTTCATGAGACAATAAGTTTCGTCACTGACTTCGCAACAGTTTTTTAAAATAAAAATACACGTTCAGTAAATCCTCTCGAATTTGCGATACGTGTTTAAACCATTGCTATAACTGTAGAAAAATATTATTGAATTAGTAACACGACGAATTTGAATAAAGTGGAATTTGAATGACAACGTTATGATAATTTGATGGAACTCGTAATTATTGTTCGCCGGGACATCTCTAAGTCTAGCCCTTGACGCTGAAAGTGACGTAACGAGACGCTATCAGCAGTGCTTTCCGCGCTGCTTCGAATTGCACAACATTGTGTGTCAAGGGCTACGTATGTACATTACGACTAGCCTCTCTAGGCAGCGTGTGTACATTCGTTCTTGCTGCAAAAGTTGTCATTTAACGAGCGTTTCGAACGGATGCGCAATCTGCGCGCAGAGCGGCGGCGCTTTCTTTTTCTTGCGACGCCTTAATTGCGAAGGAAAAGAAGGCGTCCGGGAAATCAATACCGAAAGTCCCGGGGTCTTTCTGCTAGCGTTATCGAAAATCGTGAGGACAATATCGATAGGTTCTGCCGTAATTACGCGACGATCGGTTTCCAACGAAATTACAAAGACGATTACGTTGCTTCAAAGACAGCTGGGCCTAATTTTTCATGACAAATGCGTACCATTTTTAAAACAAGCTGTAAACCATTACGTAACCACTGGTTGAAAAAGTACAATATACACGAAATGATGGGGATACGATTGTTTCAGTTGCCTTGGAAATAAATGTACCGGGAGGAAGTTATTATTGGATTACATATAAAGCTCCGGAAGTATAACGCATACCTGTGTCAGTCCTTGATTGCGTAAATGGGGAAGCCCGTAATAAAAGAAAATATACTTGGCGAGCGCGGCGTTCATTATATTTCATTAGCGTATTTAGTTTATTAATCTTTAAGTGAATGCTCGGGTAAATCGGTTACCCAGTTGCAGTTCACCATATCCTTGTTTAAAACAATTATGGGTTTTTGGAATGAACGTTGTAGACAATTTTCGTTACTGGTACAAGGACCAATCGATCGCGTTCGAAGAACAACGAGTGGGCGTTGATCGTGCTGTTTCTATCATGGTAAACGACTGATTGTGGTATTACATCCGCGCAGGTTTCGACAGATTGCGAAACAGAATCCTGCTCCATATACGGCTTCCATATTTCTCCCATGACAAACGTATGCGAGCCGGTGTGCATCAAACCATAATATGTGGCTCTCAGCCGCATGCTGTGGAGGAATGTGTGGAAAAGAATGCTGTATTAGAATGAGTAACAGGACCGTCTACCCAATACATGAAAGTCAATTATCAGACTGCGGAAATTTATGTATTCATGATGTATAAAAATCCAAGCGTAGTTTCATTTTATTTCGCTGAGTCAGTACTTTTGAGCTTATTTGTAACCGACTTGCAACTGCTAGCGAATAATTCCATTTTCATTAAACTCTTCGTCATGTAACGTTTATAAACAACGTCTATATGAATAGTGAGATCGTATTGGAATAAACTTTTACGTTGGCAAGATTCTTGAAAATCCTATTTCCATCGCCTTAATATCGTTAAATAAAATATGGCTAAATATCGACATAAATATCGTTAAATAATTTTATAGGAACCATTTTAATGACCATAAGATAGAACGAAGAATTCTGAAACACCGAAATCGTTAATAGAGATAGATAAAAGTAGAATAATACAAGATAGAAAGTGTTAATTATTTCAGTTTATGTGGTTAGTCATTACATATAATCGTGAAAGATACGAAGCATATTGTTAACGTATTATCAAGTATTGGTGATACAGTTAAACGGATACAGTACATTGCAGATGCAACGTGCAAATTTTCTAGGCAACTACGTCGTAAAATCGTATGTATAATAATGCTGTATTATGAACAAGAAGCTTGTTTTATTGCGACATGTTACTGTATTTCTACACATTGTCACATATTGTGCAATAGATGATCCTATGCTGCGAGTCATAGATAATTATTTTTCTGATGTGTTATGCGACTTACTTCTAACTAGAAGAAACCGTAGAATTTTATGCAAAATAAAAATTGTCCGCATTAATTGCGGCTGATAATTTTATTTGAAAAATAACACAATATCGTTGTTAAATTCCTCAAACGTCTTTCCTGTTGATCTATTCAGTTTCGTTACGAGCCTACATACTTTCGGCTGCTAAATCGGATAAATTCAAATACACGACTGTATAAAACGTGCTAAAACGCAACAATAAAAATACGTTCTATCTGCTGTTAGAAGACATTCTACTAGAACAGCAGTATATTTAAAAATGCGGATAGCAAAATATTCGTCTCGAAAACTTATTTTCCGTGCTAGGACATGTTGGAAAGGTCCGCAGTCTATTCGGAAGTTGTAACGTGAATGGCGGCAAGAGACAGAGGAGGCACGCTCGAAGTGGCCCTAAGTAGCAACGCGATTATCGAGCGATACGAGAGAAAATACTCGCACGAATAGCCAGCGTTTTAGTTCGGGTACGGGGGCGCTGCGGTAGTTGGCACGGTCCTGGTGCCGGGTCTCGAGCGGTGGGCATGCCCGTGGAAGATGCAAGGCACACGAGCCGCACAGTTCAGTCGCCTTTAACCGGCCTTAAAGTAAAGGTTGGGTTGTCGCCGATCGCCGTGCGCGTGCGCAGGGACAGAGTTAGAGCCACCGGCTTATCGTACAGATCGCGCCGAGAATGAAATTCTTTCTTTATCCGGTCGAATACAGAAGCAGTTTCTCTTCGTACAGCAATCTCGACAATAAAAGAAAACGACTGGAACGTTTATGGCCGAACGCGGCGATAGCACACGCGACCGAATCGCTTGAACGGATCATTTTACCGTAAGACACTTTCCCGTGTCAGTTTTGTACGGACACCGGGGAAGGACCACGACCGAGGAGGACGCGTATATTCAGTGCCGCGAAATCATTCGTTCGGCCCGTTGCTGTTCGTCTACAGTGGGTGAACCGGAAACCGAGAAGAAGAAGAGGAATATATTCCGAAATTCGAATAGGCGGGACACGCGCCTACCTCGTATCAGTTCAGTTTTTTCGCGCGATATTCAAAGTCGCGCCAAAGTGTGTTCCATACTGGATACTATTTCTCTCCTGGCTTACAACACGAAGTGGCCGATAGGTTTGTACAGTGCCTAAACTATTTTACCAATTTTTCTACCCCCGCGACCGGGACTGTTCTTGAACTTTTTTCTGTCACCGGTGTCGTCTTTGTGCCGGTTTCGACCGGTTCCCAAGCTTTTCAACGTTTTATTTTGTGAAACTTGACCCGTGACTCGATCGCAAGTGCGGTTTAGAAGAAAAACCAAGCGCGAGTGAAATATTCGAATCCGTGGCGTCGTAGATTGATGCAAATAGATTAGCAGACATGCTAGGACGCTTTTATTCGAGCGCCGTAGCACGCGACGCTCTTCGGCCGAAGCATTCCGTTAGAAAATAGGTAGGCGGTGCATTTTTGCCGATCATTTCGAGTCGATAGTTCGCCCCGCGGTGTATTAATATCGATGAGGGACTCGGTTTCCGAGAAACTGGAATCCTGCGAATACTTTGTACCACCTTGCGAATTTCTTCCTGGCTGCTGGCCTATTCAGTCGAATCATACTTGTCTATAAATAGTGTTATGAAATACTCGGTAGTTCATTTCAGTTGCAGATGCATTCGTTCGCTTGAACTTTGACGTGAAAATCACGCCGCGTACTATTTCTCGCGTGCGACACCTGAATCGAATAATCGAACGGACTAAATCCGTACACGACATTTGATAAAATACGCGACTTCTCTATGCGGTTATTGGCCGGCATCGCGCGCAAACGTGATTTCGTTGTCCGCCGTACAAGAAATCGACAAACTTATTTTTAACACAGTGAAAATGTTTCCCAACGCGTTACTCGCGTCATTTGTTTGATTAACGTTTCTTTTGTTAATTGCGAAGGGATATTCAATGAAGGACGATCGTAGAATTCCATAACGCGGGAAACAGACATTTTGTGTCAGATATCTGTTTTCAAATTCTGTTTGACAATTCCATAATTCGTTTGACTTTGCTCGAGTAAAGAGTCGGCATTTATGATACCGGTAGCGAACGCGCGTCACGTATCGAACAACTAAATATTACATTTTTAAGCGACAATGAACGTATCGGTTTCTAGGCAACAAGCGCGTTATTTTCAATAACGTAGCTAGAACTTTTTCGCGTGAAATGGCGGGCGCGAAGGTGTGAATACGTTCGCGGGCCATTTTGTGATCCCGTGATTTTGATTGACGGTTGTTTCGGTGACAGAGATCGATTCGCGGACATTTTCCTCGTTTCGAAATGTTGCATCGTTTTGCACGGATCGATATGTACGCGAAAATATGTGTGTCAAGCGGAGATAAGCGAGTTTGCCCGGCATATTGCACTTTCTATCGCAATGTCGTGCAACATATCAATCCGCACTCCCAGTTCTAGTTTTTAGGAATTCGTTTGGTGTTTGCTTGAAGGCCGGCCGGGACATTTTTCATTATACTTTTACCGTATCGCGCCTTTTCATCCTTAGAAGAAATCCGCTCTTAATTACAGTGCCGGTAGGAAAGCTGTCGGCTTGTTACACGCTTGAACGATAATGTTCGACGGAAGTTAGTGAACACACCACCACCACCACCACCTAACCGATGCTGGACCGGTTTCTGTCCGATATGTGGACTGTAGTTCTAATATGAGATAAGTTCAATCTATCGATCGTGTCGGCGGACGATGTGGAATGTCGAATTCCTTATACAGCTCGGGCTAACTACCATTTTTATCAGATCCGTCGGAAAGGTTTGTTCAGTTTCAAAATCCGTGTTAGACAGAAATTCTGTTTGACATTTTTTTATTTCACTGGCAGAACACGCAGGACGATCATTTTTCTAGCGAAAGAAAGCGAGACGCGGAACTTCTTGGCGTAATCGAGAAAACTCTTCGGGCGTGTAGGAATTATATTTTTCTCTGTTCGGAAATTTACTTTCGAGACATTCGATTTTGCTGATGTTTTCGAACGCCATATTCTGTAAACAGCTTTCATGAACGCGTTAAACAGGTCGACCGGTGTTACATTTTCTTCGGATCTTTCCACGATGACGTATTATTTTTAAACGATTTTTTTTTTCATTGATACATTCGTTGTTTCGATCTTGATGTCAATTGCCAACATAAATAATCCGAAAGTGAATGTGTTTATAAAAATAATGCGAAACTTATAGGGCGGCTGCACCATCCACACAGTTTGCCTCCTCGGGACACGCCCCTCTTTCTAGCGTTCCCATACAGATTGCTTGAGAAGCTAGTGATGTACGGTCAAATAGATAATTATTAGTGAAAGAGATTGCTGTCAAAAGCCGAATGTCGCCTTGATTCCTCAGAGTCGCCGCCGCCTCTCGCAATATTGTATCAAAATGCGACACATTTGGAACAGATCTTCCGTCAGAGCCGAATGCCGCGAGAAGTTCAAAGTGTTCAAAGAGTTCTGAGAAGTTGCCGCTCTTATCGCTGTATATTAAAACGGTATAAAATAGGAGAGTGCAAATTTTCATTTTAAGTAAAAATGTCCTTTTCCGTGACAGACCGTTGTCAACAGTGGCGTATCAATCTTTCATAAAAAAATTCGTCTTAAGGACAGAGATGCGATCGGTTGATGTGTTTATAATATTTATAAACAATATTTAACACAGAAGATCCTTTTTCGTGTTCAAGGAATTATATCAACAAAGAGAAGTACTTTCATTTCTCGAACTCGTCTCTGAGGAACCGCGAAGGAATTTTCGCAAGAAATTAGAGATATTTCTGTGAAAACATTCGTCTTCTGTTTACTATTCGGCGAGTAACGGTTTTTACGCGAGCGCTCGACGACACGACGCTTCTAGGACGATCTAACGAAAGTTTATCTTTTTTTCTTCTCTCTGCGAAGAGAGTAACACGAAACATGCGGGATGCTTTCTTTCGTTGGCAAGGCCGTTCTAGGAAGGTGATCTCTTTCCCCCCTTAGTGACTCTCTTTTGTTCGATTCAGCAGCGAAGTAGGGTCAAAGAGAAACGTCTAATGTATCATTGTTTTTCAGCGGTTCGCGTTTTTCACGGGCGAGCGAGCCACAAAGCTCACCGCCTTCCCTTCCTCCTATTTCACTTTTTCTTCTTGTGTCTTGTGTTGCTTACTTTTCTTCGCCGGCTTTTGATATGAATCTCACGATGAACGACTCGGTTAACTGTCAAACGCCTTTGTCTGTCCGGCTGTCAAAATAGTCCTGTCGACGATGCCTGGTACCTTTCCAATTCTTCAACCACTTTCTCTAATTCTATTCACCACCCAGTTACTTCTAAATTCAATTTTGTAAATCTTTTTATTTTTTCTACAAAAATCTCACGTTTCTTCGTATCGATATTTAGCCAACCATATTAATATTTCAGTTTCAATATTTGACGATGTATTGCGTTAACCAACTGAAATTTAATGTATAAAATTAAAAATATCTTAAAAAATATACATTTTCGAGTAGCATTTAGCGGTCTTCATTTGATTCATTTCTTATGTAACCAAAATGCATAAATATTTTTTTAAAGTTATAGTATGTAAAATTTTCTCCGTATGTTATTCACAAATCGTAAATTGATGTAGTAATGTTTAGAGAACGGTTATGTGACATTTCTTAGAAATATACGAATTGTTAAAGAATTCGTAACGTCAGCAATTCAGAATATTTTTTAAAATATTCTCTTCTCCGAAATATTACTTGAAAATCGTTTTAAGTGTCATTTTAAGTAAAGCCTAATTCAAGTCAGATTTCTTTGTTTGCTTCGAACAAGATAATGCTTTATAACCTTTCTGGAAAGATATCTCGGGCATCGGTAGTGTTCCGAATAGTGCAATTTCTCTGAAAGTGACAATATTCGTAACAGTCAGAACGCCGTAGCGTGACAATTAATTGAAACACGGTGGTTCATCTGTGCGCGCGGGAACGTGAGATAACGGTCGCCGCCGGTTCGTGATCGTCGAGGTGGGCCCAATCGGGCGGATGTAATGTTTGCGCTATAATACCGGCAATAAAAATCAACGGTGTGTTTTCTTTGCGTGTAGATACGCGACAGCGATACACCCTGGCGAATTTCGTTGTAAACCGTGAGTCATTCCGAAGGAGTTGAGGTTGAGACCTGCGGGCGTCGCGTCATTCCGTGTGACTTTTCGATGCGTGACCGGCGCCCCAGACGCGTTTCCTTCTTCTGGCAGAGCATAACTGCACTCTAAAAGCGTCGTGACGAGGCGATCGAGCTATGCACACACACTGGGCGTCTTATGTAAAACGATGCGTCATTTTGCGAAAGAATCGGGATTTCCTCGTATCACCGACTACCGTTAATTCTTCTCAGTATCGCTATACATATAATTCACTTTACAGAGTGACTTCACCTAAAGATAGTTTTACGTCTAGCCGGCCTGCTGGTGCGTCTAGCATATGCACGATGTGTGAATCGCGGTTGATCAGTTCACTCGCGCGCGAGCTGTAATGGTTACGGAAGATATTGCAATGTATTAGACACTTTTTCAAGCTATTCGAGCGATTTTCCTCAGCTCTTATAATTGACGCTTTCGCGACTGCAGCTTTATCTAACTAAATGTTCACTGCGATGCGGTTATAGATGGTCTTGGCACGTCGAATTCATTGTAAAAATATCTCGGCGCTTTCTGACACAATGAGACACAATCGTGGAAATATTGATAATGTACAACAGAGAAAAATTACAACTTCATGATACTTTGCAATTTATATTTATTCAGTGTACAAAATTGTGAACATTCCGTAGAATTGCAAATTTAGTGATCAAATAAGTTAGTTAATAAATAATGACCGAGTGGAGTGACGAGACGCACAAAAACATGTGTCAGAATCACTCTTTCGGCGTTGAGCATCTTGGCGCAAGTTTGGTACTACGAATCTACTTCGTTCTTTCAGCTGAATGGATTAAAATACCATCAAGTGTATCAGGGCAACATAGTGCAACAATTTTATGACTCACTTCATGACGAAGCTAAAGAGTAATTTCTGCTAGACTTAGATTGACTCTTAACTGCCCAGATTGATTCTACTGTATCCGATTTTTCTCTTTATACAACGAAATTTCAACTTTGCCCCTGAAATCAATGTTACTAATTCTCTGTGTTTAAGGGCATATATGGCATTTTTTTTTTAAGTCATTAAAGAAATTTTGCCGGTCGATTTGATAAAGAAGTTAAACAAGAGTGTGTGTTCCTCCTATTAACCAATTGCCGTACCGTTTTTCACAATTAGAACTTTTTCTCATTTCAAAACTTTATATTTATTGTGTGCATACATTTACTTGAATACTTAATTATTGGTAACAAGAGAAATAAATTTTATTCAAACGTAAAAGAATAATATTCATACCTAACAGGTTGTTATTAAAAATCCTCCATAATGAGTCAGACTCAAAATACGGCCTCTTATTAATCAATCTAATAAGATAAATGATAATGTGTTGCATCTAATAATCATTCTAATAAATTCAAAATAATGCAACAAAATATTCCTAAATCCTTGTAAAAAATATTAAATAATTTCTTTGAGTGGTCTAGCAATAAGTGTAACCGAATTGCCACCGGTTTTGAAAAAGTTGAACGCGTCTCAGCGACTGCACCGTGACGGCCGAGGGTAAAAATGCACCGCGAAGGGTAGTTACCCCACCAATGAAAGAAATAGTCGTAACGGTCTCACGCGGTAAACGAAAATGACCTCGTCTAGGGATTCAGCCGTGATTTATTGCAGGTTGTCGCATCTCGGTATAGAATGTTTGATTTGTTGCTGCACGCGTTACCGGTTTTTTCCGAGACCTCCGTTCTGTCGCATGTTCGGACGTTTGTGATTCGTCGCGGCAGGTTACCAGTCCATGGTCGAGTTAGAGATCGCACGCGAGTACGAGGTATCCGACGTTCAGACAAATTATCCCATCGAACCATACGATATCGATTCGGTGCCTCGTTGAGTACCCCGGTTTCACCGGAGCACAGCAAAAACTGTATGTTGGTGTCGCGAAAGTAGCGAAGGACGTGTATTTTTAATCTACGCGCATACAAACAGCCGCGACACGACCTTTGTTCATATTTTCATAGCATCAACTGCATTCATTTCGTTGATTCTCCTGATAATGCTCAAGGCGTTACGACACACGATGCAATACCGCCGCGCCGCGGCGTTATTACCGCGACGTGAAGCCACGTGTTGCAACATCGAAAAGGAGGAGGAAGCAGATGGATGCACATCGAAATAATCGATACAAAATATGCGCGTTTCAACCTCTTGAGCGGATAACGCGATTCGCAGGTTAAAAGATTCGCACGCTTAAGGAAATGTATGGCATATACTGGGTGCTCCCCGTTTTTCCCGCCAAATTGTGATAATATGGCAAACAGGAAATAGTGAATTGTAATAAAAATTTTAAAAGCATTTTTAGCAAATATCATCTAATGCTGCACGATTACATAAGTAGTTCAGAGATTGTTATATTAATAGCATTAGATGTCGATTACATTAAATTGTGCAAGTCACTAATAATCGTTCAGAAATTATTAAGTATCTCATCATAGAAAGTTTATTGCTTCTTACACGTATGCGTTATATTCGTGATAAACCGATTGCAGTTCAAATTCAAACACTTCTCTTCATTTTCGTGGCGAAATAACGCGTCAGAAATTTGGCGGGAAACAAGATATTCGACCTTTGAGCAGTTACTGCGGGATTGTGTCTATCGTTTGTAAATTTTATAGCAGCTTTTATCGGTTTATGAAAATTCACGACCGTTAATGTAACAGAACAAAAGAATAAATGTTTAAATTCGAAAATACTTTGTCAGATTCTCTGTCCTAAAAATCGAACGAGAATTCGCGATGAAGTACAATCGATCACCGGTTGAAGGTTAATTATCTTCGTTTCGATGCTTCTGAATTAACTTGCGCATATGAGAATTTGCATAAAGACTCGCAGTCTATTTAATCCTTTGACACTCGGCGGACGTCTTTTTGTTAAAAATATAACTGGGTATACTTCGGATAATTTCTATGTTTATTGAGCAATTTTGTTCAACATACTTTTTAATACTTTGACTGCAGACAATTACGAGAATTTCGTGAAACTGAATTATTTTATGTAATGAAATATTATATGCGTGACGTGTGACAGACACAATGTGAGGATACACCTTTTAGATAATAGTTAATGAAACGATTGAGAAAATTTTATTCAGTTGTGTGTTGGAAACTAGATAGTCGAATAACAATAATTATTGATCTAATCGAGGTGAAGCTTCTTGGAAATCGTGTAGCTGTGTTAATAATTAATGAATATGAAAAGAAATTATATCGCACTGTGACCTAAATGTTTAATTAGCTATCTGTATAGCTAATTAAATTCTATCTGTATAGCTATACAGATAGCTAATTAAACATTTAGGTCACAGTGCGATATAATTTTTTTTTAATAATAGTAATAATATAAATTTTAATAATAATTTGTATTTAATATAAATTAAATAGCTATTTAATGCGGTCATAGTAGGTGTCGGTCACCTTTAGGTGACCCAATTAGTGAATAATAAGTGTATCGCAATGCAATAGAAATGTGTGTTATCATTTCAGACGAAATGCCGGTGCCTGTTTGGGAATGCCCTGACGTGGGCCTGATATACGAGCCCCCCGACAACACGACAGTGGTGTCCGACGACATATGGAAGAAGTTCGACCTGGAACTCACGATGGATCGAGTGGTGGACACATACTCGGAGATGTATCACGAGCGCACCTTCGACGAGTGCGTCCTTCCAGAGTTATTATACGACAAGATGACCTGTCTAGGGTCGCGAAAGATGCGTCATCACGATTGCATGTGGGCAGGTCTGTGCATCAGCAAAGAACACAATAGGACGTTACCGGCGAAGAAGGATTCGCAGATACAGAAGAGAATACCGGCGGGACGGAGTCTATTGATATCCCGAGCTAGTGCCACACCGACGACGACGTCGTTGTCGGCGAGTCAGCAGCAGGCCCAGCAACAGTGCCGCGCAAAAAGCTTGGAGAGCGACGGCGACTCCACGAGGCCGGAAACACCGCAAACCTCGAGCTGCTCCTCCGATACAGAGTCCGAGGACGATGGCCCTTTCTTCAGACACGATCAGATCAATATACACGAGAAACTGTCCGAGTGTATGTCAGAGGCGATTATCAAGGCTGTGCCAGTGAGCGAGGTCACCGGTCAGCTGGTCAGGTTCCACGACAGGAGGAAAGAGGAGGATAAGAGTCAGTGTCAAGTGCACAAGGAAATCAATGTCAGGAACACCCTCAGTGATCATTGCTATCACCTCAATCAGCCAATCTGCAAAAATCTGGAACACCTCGGCGTGCAGACACCCTCCGATTCCGGTGAGTCATCATCCGATTTATTACATGTTACAGTAGTGCACGGTTAAATTTACATCGAGCCGGAAGCCAACATGTGAATTCTCGCGTGTGAAATATCTTTTCCTTCCAAGAACTGATAAGAGGATGACACTATAATGTAAGAGAATATATATATAATTTTTGTAAACACTGCAATCAGGTGGAACGACAAAACAAATAAGGTCATCCCTTTCAACAAATTCATGTCCTTAAAATCTGCTAAATTTTTTTTACATACTCGGATAAAGAAGTTAAAAAACGTGCTTTAAACAATTTTTTTGACATTTTCCGTTTCATCCAATTTTAAAAACGTTACTCCATTTCAACGTTCAAGACTTTAAACGTTTAATAGAGGACATTTTTCATTTGAGTAATTATCGCCTTACCTGTATAATTACGGCATCATTGTATAGCTAAGATTCTTCTAATTGAAATTAGTCCAAGCACGATAAAAATTGCATGAGTTTCAGTTATTTTCGGATTAATTAATAAGCAGTCTGTGATGATAAATTTTTTGATAAACGTAGTCGAGTTTATATCGTGTTCGATCTCATTTTAATCAGAAGAACACCTTAGCCATTCATCGGTACTATAATTATAAAAGTAAGACTGAGAGTATCGAAAGTACAATTTTCTTTCTTGTATTTTTACTTTGTCCAGCCGTAGCATCGTATTGGTTGTCTCCTTTCTTTTTACTCCAACTAGACTATAACTATACTCTGTCCTTATCTAGCGAGATGAGGTCTCGCAGAGCTCGCGGTACTATGTTGGGAGAAGAGTGGGGCTTAACCGTGTAAATTTAACCGTACGACTTTCATCTTACATTTTTCGACAACTTTGCCTTCTTCTTCTTTTTTTTTTTTTTTTAATCAATTCAGCATATTTTCACAATATTTTTTATCATAGCGAATAAGTGGGGTGAGGAAGAACAAGTACAGATTCTTTCGTGCATACTAATTTCGCACAAATTGCCTTTTTATTTCGTTATGCACTGAAATTATTATTAACTTTCATTATATACAGAAATTAAATGTAATAAATGCATTATACTATGCACATGCATTGATAACACAAGAATGCATAAAAATGTGTGTAGTTTTCGTGGGGAGGTGAGAAGCTCCACAATTACGCGGATTTCACTCTCGACGCTCTATTAAAGCGATCATTTATATTTTCACATTTCATCATATTATAACATTTATATTATGCCTTGCAATTGCAACTAACGTGTTGTTGTTAACGTTACTTTTACCAAAAGACGTCTTTTAATAATTACTAATAAAAATTATTTTCTACGTGACCAATTCTCGACTTTTGCTATAATCATTATTAAAATTAATACGGTAAGTTGTATAATACAAATTATCGGTAAAAATAGTGTTAAATAAACACTGAACATTGATTTCACCACTGTCCTCTACAAATTGCCTGGGAACATTTCGATTTCACATAAAGATCCACAGTTTAACAATAACCGAAGTAAAAGCTCTACTTGTTGCGTTTTTTTTTTCCGAGTCGAAAACCGAAAGTCTCCCTCCCGGCCGAAAATCATTCGATCTCACACCCTTTAGATCGTCAAGAGCGTTTATTCGCCTCATTCTTTTGTACCCTCCTAACGGAGACAGCAAGGTCGAACTAAGGATCCTCTTAATCGAGTGCAATTGACGGCGGCACGGCACTCTCCGGTGTGCACTTCGCCGAATTTGGGTACCCGCATAAGTATGCTAATCGCGGTTGGTTATTCGTCACCGGCTAAGGAACGGCTGAATACAAACACAATCGTAAAACTCGTTTTAAACAAGTTCGGAGGTCGGTACACTAACGTTCTCGGGTCAGTGGTATTTTTCCGGGGAGTAAAGAGAACCGTGAGAATTTTTTCGCCTTGGAACCGACTGCCATGCTTTGCGGAACGGATGCATAGATTGCACAAACAATGACGGCTGGTATCGCTGATTCGACGAGCAGCATTATTGGCAGCGTGTGCGTGCGTGCGTGCGTCGAGGAGACAACGGGAGTCACGAAAAATCTTTTACACCTTTCGCTTTTTTTTCCCCCCTTTGCTAAGCACCGGGACAAAAGAGGGGTTTCTCGACTTTTTTTTGGCTCTCGCGATTCTCACATTTTCAAACTAATGTTTTTGTCTCGAACAAAGCCTCGTCTCCGACTTGTTAGCATAGGTATAATTCTTTTAACGGATGCGCGTATCCTTAACGAGACGAGCACTCGAAAGCCGAAGTCCATTTAAACCGACGGCAGCGAGCAGGAACTGTTGTCTCGTCTCGTCTTTCTTAAATATTTCCACGTTATTTTTCTTAGATACAATCGAATCCCCCGGACGGACGTTCTTTAACTTAATGTTACCAAGGACACGACGCCACGCATACTAGACACAGACCGTAAATGCAATTTAATTGCTGTGTGCGCGACGTTCGTTTGCTTTCAATGAGAAGAATGATTGCCATCGACGAAGAGACGGCTTGATAGATTATTATTGCATCGATAGCAGCCGTTAAAAAGCTTCATATATCAAATGCGTGTCGAGGTTGAGCAAACGTTTGTGTGTAAAACAATACAAATTATTGCCGGCTTGGAACGCAGTCGCAATCGTCGCTCGAACACCAGCTTCGCGACATTCGTGCTCGTTTTCGATCGATCACAATATAGATCGCCTTTCGAACACGGGCGCGTTGCATTCCGAAAAATAATTAACCGACCGTACCGTGCGTTCACTGGTCGAGCCGCGTAATGTGTAACTGGCTCGATCAAACTTGTCTTGTGAAATCGAAGATCCGACGACAGGAACGCAATGATAACGCGATCATATCGCGGGTGTCATAGAAGCGGGGGGAACGCAGAAACTATTCAGCAACGCGCGCAGAAAAATCCGGCGTCCGTCGCTGGAATTTCTCGAAAGTTCTGTTGTCTCGTCTGCGAAGGCTTCGTGATTGGATTTCAAGAAGTTCCCGTGCATTTTCAGGGCACGTCACGTATCTTCCTCGTAGCGAGCACTTCTTCCGTCACGTGTCTTGTTCACTGGGTCTAACTATAGTGATTCCGGGAGAGGTGGTTTGGCGCGGCTCGCATAATTCGCGTCGGGGGCCGGTGCTCTAGCGTTGTCTAGTCGGTGCCTCTAGCGTCTAGTCGGCGAAAATTGTGCCGCTCGCCACCTGAAAATACGTTGCGCCACATGGCGACATCCTACGCTCTATAGATACTGGATAGAGACACGGACACGTACGCTGTGCCACGGCTTAAACGACTGTCACCGGGCCATGTGTGTGGCGTGCGTTGTTCGTATGATAGGAGAGCATGACCAGGAAAGAGTCGCGCAACAGTCGACGGCGCACACACGTGCATACTTGCATCGGCCTGCACGTGACCAAACATTTACGCCGGCTCTCTTCCGATTATATATCAAATTGAACGACATTACCACTCACTGGCCTATTTTTCTTCGGCCGTGTGGCGCTCGTATCGATCCGCCGCGAATCCAAAGAGAAACTCGATCCACGCGAACCGATCCGCTGGAAAAATGATCATTCTATCGCGTCCATCCGCGAGTAGAAAACCGTGCGTGGACGACGTCCGCGTGTTTTTGGAACGAGACCGTTCCCAAGCTATCCGTTTAATTATCCCAATCACGATTAAATCGAGCAGTTTAATTGATTGCGACTGATGACCGGCGGAGATAAGCTTTGTCAGCGAGTGAACCGCTCGTGCGACAAGACGGTGAGAACTCCCGGCCGGGGAACGTCGATAGGGTCTTCTAAAGTGTGCCGTTTCCTGATCGTCCGAACTTAATGGATCAAGAAGACGTTACTGTGCGACCGGACACACCACGAATTCGGCCTTCGTGTTGTCACCGTCCGTAATTGGTAATTGCCAGGGGCACAACTTGCAAATAGCTACTTCTGACAGCCGCCAGACGGGTCAGTGAAACCACGGGAAAAGCGTGACCTCGTTAAGCGTGTTAATCATTCGGAAAGGCAGCGTACGAAGGGCTGCGGTATTCTTTGCGTAGGAAGTGCAAGTCACAAGTGAGCTTTCGAAAAATTGCTCTCGAGCGAGGTTACGAGTAATAGACGTTTCCGAAGTTATGATCCATAATGAATTCGATTTTAACTCTTTACGATGTCAAGGTAGCACCAAGAAGGGCAAAATGACATGATGACATTTTTGACTAATTACTAAATTAGAGTTATTAGTAAACTGCGGTCTTTATTCAAAACAAAAATTTTGTACGTTCATTGCAGAAAAGAGAAACTCCGTAGACATTTATTTCTTCTTCAACCCTTTTCACTCGAAGCAATTTTAATTTGAAATACAAAACATGTTTTTTGACCTGTTTTCATTTTACACGATTCAACTTTTTTTTTTTAAACATAAACAAATTTGATACTGCTAAAATTATTTTGGAACCACTCGAGTGCAAAGGGTTGACAACTTGAATAAGTTACAAATCGTGGAGTTATGTCGAGCCATTATGACGAACTCATGTTCGTCATAAATGCATAAAATCCGTAGTCGAGTTATCGATAATGATCATTAGTGGCTTAACTTTTCAAATTACAGTAAAATCTAATTATTATTAGTATTAACTTTATGGTGAACATTTTTAAAGATAGGACCGGTTAGTGACGATTATAATTATGACAAGTATGAAGAAGTTAAAGTTAAAAGTTCTCGTAGCACGTGGCAAGTAGATGCAAGGTTCGATCACCGCTAAAAATTGATTTTTCCCCTTAATTCTTCGGTCCGCACCTAATCCTTCGGTGCTTCCAATTTAACTAACCAACATCCTTGTTTATTGGAGCGCGATGACCGAGCCACACGATTTCGTTCAGTCAAACGAGTGCGCTTTAAATAGAGCAATTTTCGAGGCAAGGCAGAAGTCAGGGTTGTTTAGGCACAACTCTGAACACGGTTCATGGTCTTTGCTCAAATTCAGTAGGAAGTATAATCGTTATTACTAGACTGCGGAT